TGTACCTTCAAAATAGTAAAAGCCACCTCCAAGTAACATATTCTTAAGGTAAAACACACAAACAACAACAAAGAACATAACAAGATACTATGACAAATATTGGATTATCACTTGTCCCCTTATTTTGGCTTCCCCTCCTATCTCTTTGGACCTTGGAGGAGTCTTGAAAGGTTCTATGTCTTATTCAAAACCTCAAGAGAATTTTTCTAGTGTGCAACTCGATGGTGATTTCCTATGGAGCCTTTGTCAAGCTGTTCCCATCTTTCCTTTGGGTTTGCTACCAACAAGCTTCTTAGAAGTCTAGCGTGCAACTCTAGTGTTCTTACCTCGGCCTCTTAGTGAGTTTGGCTAACTGTTCCCTCTTATGAATTTTCATAAGGGGTTTCTCTTTTGGAGCTATAGCACATCTAAAAGCTTTGGGAGATTCTCTTTGCCGAACTGCAATTCACATGGAGGCCTTGGAGACTATTGCAAATTCTGAGGATGTGAGGATGAATCTATGCTTGTAAATATTTGTCGTGACTTGTTCTTGCACTTTGTCCAGAATTTTTTTTTTTTTTTTTTTTTTTAAGGAAAACTATCTTGTATCTTGTATGAATTGGCCTAGCGACCCCTACTCTAGTGTATATACGTGTGCTTGCAATATCTTCCTTGCACGACTTTTGTTTTAAGTTATTTTTGGATTATTTGAGTAGGTGCCCTAAAGCCAATCCATTATTGTAATGTTGACTCTTGTAATAATTTCTATAATCAATTAAAGTTATTTTTCTACATCATGTAATTTGTATTCATTGTATATTGTCATGTATGTCCTTAGAATGGTAGAACCCTTAGGATTTTCTGTCTATCACACTAGGTTGACTCAGCAACTTTCCTTGTTGATGGCCTTATAGTTGACTTGCAAGTTGCCCAACTTGCATTTACCTCTTCATAGACTTCTAAAGAATCCAACCTTTGATTACTTCTCCTGATTCTCTACTAACTTGAATAAAGGCATTTAAGCTTTTTTCCAAGTGGATTTTCAGGTGGTTAAGTGGTATGGCTAGTTTGGAAACTGACTAGCCTTGGGTTCTAGGTAAAGGAGGATTATTATTAGTCTTCCAAGAGAAATTAGGATGATTTCCCCACCAAGATCGTAAGTATTTGAATAAGGATCATCCTAGGCTTAGGTTGGTAAGACTCCGTCAAATTGGCTTGTCTTGTTCATCCCTACATAAGAATATAAGACAAAGAACAAGTGTTAGCATCTGCCCTAAAACACCACAAACTCCACATACCCATTATTGTTGTGTTTTTGGTAGTCAAAAGTTGACTTGTTAGTCAATTCAGCAAGTTACATAGCCATCTCATTGGCGAGCTTAATTCATGTACTCCAACTTTTCTTCCTCTCACACTCTTTGTTGGGAATTAGCACCACCTCTTGTATAGCTCAAATGCTTCTGCACCAATTTTCTCACCCATTGCTCCACCAGCAGTGTTGCCCACTATATATTGACATATTGTGTAATTCATCATAGAAAAACTAATTTTGTAATTGAAACAGGTAATGATGGTAAGGACATTGATGAGAAGCAACTTAAATTTGTTCCATGCCTATGAAAAGGCTCTCATTCCATTGAAAATGTCACAATCTTAGTCCTCAAGTCAATGGTCTTTTGATGAGAGGAAAATTTGCCCATGAAATTATGGTAAACCACTCCCATGTAGTCAATGAACTAGGTTGAAAAAGTCATACACCAAGCTTTAGCTCTATCCTTCAACGTGTAGGAAAACATCTCATCCTTAGTTAATTCTCATTGAGTCCTTGCAATGGAAAAATCTGAACAGTAGCATAAAAATCTCTTAGAACATCAAAGGGTCTTTATTAGGGACTCTGTAGAAGGAAGGCAATATGCTATGATGGATATTTTCTAGCTCATAATTCCTTGTTGCTTCCCCAAATATATGCAGGATTTTTTTTTTTTTTAAGTTTTTGTTGAGTTTTTATAATTCATGACAAACCCCGTTAGAAGTGGATAATTAATTAAGTTCACAAATACTTTGTGGGAGAGACCCTTACTTGCTCTTTGCTACTACATGACTTTGCATTAGAATTTAGTGAGGTAAAATTAGGTGTTGCATTTACACGCATCATAAGTCTACTAAGCTCCCTTACTAGTTGCTCTTCTTGTGTTTGGGTCAAGCTTGCAGAAATTATGACAGGATGAGTATCTCCCTTTCACAAAATACATATTTAAGGTGCTTAGGTAGCTCTTTAAACTCTAACTTAGGTGGATTAGGCTCATCCCTATGTAGGGATATTGGTAACTCTAAAGGTTTACTAGAAATTTCTTGTGGTAAAACAGGAATTACTCTATCTGGAATCTCACGGAATCCCTTAGTTTCCTCATCAGGTGTTTCCTCTACCCTATCAAGTGTTAGTGTAGCTTCAAGCTTATCTTCTATCTTCTCCTACAAATAAGTGTCATAAACAAGTGAGTCCACACAATCAATAAAAGAACACTCATCAAAAGTAAGAGTAGAAGGAATAGGTAGAGAACCAAACACTTTAAATTCAACAGTCTATCCCAAGACTGTCATAAATAAATTCCCTTTAAATGCATCTATAATTGTCTTGGTTGTTGCCATGAATGGTCTACCAAGCAAAATTGTATACTCCTTGTCCTTTGAAGGTACTTCTTCCATCTCTAAAACCACAAAGTTGATGGGAACAATTAGCTGGTCGACTTGTACCAACAAATCCTTAACCATCCCCTTTGTGTATTTAGTTGTTGGCTTAAGCTCCCCTAAACCTAGTTGCAAGTATATTGAGTAAGGCATGAGATTGATACTTGCTCCCAAGTCTAGCATAGCTTTCGCGATTTTCTTGTCTCCCATGGTGATGTTTATGTTGAAACTTCTAAGATCTTTCAATTTAGGAGGCACGTTTTGTTGGAGAACCGCACTAGCAACTTCTAAAATGTCACGGCCCCATCTAACCGGAGGCACGGTTGGGAGATCACAAAGCACCCACTACTCGTGATGATTCTACTCAGTATTGTCCCCCCCCCCCCCCCCCCCCCCCCCCCCCCCCCCCCCCCCCCCCCCCCCCCTTTTAAGGGATTTCTTCTCCTCCCCTATCACTCAAACACAAGACCAAGGGGCTATAGACAATTGGGAAGCATGGTGAGTACCATCGGGCTAGCTTCGAGCCATAGGGGTGGCAAAGAAATCCCTTAAGGGGGGAACAATACCTGCCACGTGAAGCAATATGGTCAGTGCGGCCGGGTAGTAGTGGGGCCCACCATGCTATCCGTTACATAAAAAGGCGCTTTTTTATTGTCACAGCCCCATCTTACCGGAGGCACGGCCGAGTGGAGTTCACAAAGCACCAACCCACTCTTCGTGACTCTAAGGAATATCTCCCCTCCCCTTAAGGGATTTCTTTCGCCTCCCCCACCACTCGAACCCAAGACCAAGGGGAGATATTCCTTAAGTCACGAAGAGTGGGTTGGTACTTTGTGAACTCCACCCGGCCGTGCCTCCGGTAAGATGGGGCCATGACATAAAACCATGACTTTCTTATTCTTCTCATATCTTCTCTTTTTGGTGTTGACTTCCTTGAAAAACTTTGCGTAGGAAGGCATATTCCTGATAACATCCAAAAGAAGCAAGTTAATGTCAACTTTAGAAAGCATATTAAAAATTTTAGAAAATTGTTTATCCTATTTAATGTCCCTAAGTCGATTTGGATAAAGAATCAAAGGTCTACAATGCTCTATTGCCTTATGGAGTGTTGGTGAGGAGAAACCTTTTGTTCCTTCATCTTTGTTGATTAGCTTGGACAACTGAACATCCTTTACTTGCACTTCCTACCGCGGCGAAACTGTCCAACAGTTTCCCGTGGTTTCAACACCTCTTCGTCGCGGCGAAGATTATTCTTCGCCCCGGCGAAGCCTGGAACACTGAACTTCTTCTATTTTCAACCAATTTCAAAGCAAGTGTTCAACATATCACTCAATCAAAGGTCAACCAAACAATAATACTAATAAACCAACTCAAATAAAAGCAAAAGAAGAAACATTAGCTACGTACCTCAAGTGGGGAGTTACATTGAAACCCTAACCTCTCTTGCCTTGAATTGAATTTGTGTTTATTAGTTTACTTTTAATTTTAGTTGTTAAATTTTGTGATTTAAATTTCAGCTTTACTTTCTCCCGCAAATCCAAACATTTTTGTGCTCTTCAATTAGTTATAAAACTAGGAAAATTGGTACTTAGCACTCTATCCTCGTGGGAACGATACTCTACTTATCACTTTATTACTTTTTGCGACTAGTGCACTTGCTAAATATGCATGTTTGTAAAAGCACACATCAAGTTTTTGGCGCCATTGTGGGGATTGATTTTGTGTTAATATTGAAGTTTTCTAGTTTTCGCTAAAATGGGGTTTAATTTTTAGTTTAATTGTTTTTAGTTTAATTTTTCTTTTTGTTTGCTTGTGATCTCACGCTCTTTTTCTTTCCTATGTAGTTTATGCAAAAAACAAGAAATCATCCAGTGGTTCCTATTGATCTAGAGATTGAAAGAACCGCAAGAAGACTCATCAAAGAGAGAAGAGAACGAGAGGTCAGAGTCATTGAAATGGTTGAAAATAGAACTTTAAGGGAATTTTCACTTCCACAAGTTGATAGGTGTAGTCCGAGCATTACAAGACCACCTGTTGAGGCGAATAACTTTGAGATAAAGTCGGCTATAATCCAAATGATTCAACAATCAGTACATTTTGGGGGTGATCCTAATGAAGATCCGAATATGCACATAGCCAACTTTCTGGAAATCTGCGACACATTCAAGCACAACGGGGTGACAGATGATGCTATTAGATTGCGTCTGTTTCCATTCTTATTGAAAGATAAGGCAAAAGGATGGCTAATGTCATTACCCATTGGAACCATCACTACATGGAATGATCTAGCACAAAAATTCCTGTACAAGTACTATGCACCAACTCTTTCAACAAAAATGAGAAAAGATATTACCTCTTTTTTACAAGGCGACCATGAATCATTAATGAAGCATGGGAGAGATTCAAGGAAATGTTGAGGAAGTGTCCATACCATTGTCTGCCTGTTTGGATGCAAGTCCAGACATTCTATTCAGGTTTGCTACCAAATATTTGAACAATGGTAGACGCAACAGCTGGAGGAACTTTACAGAACAAAACACCGGTGGAAGCTCAAGAGTTACTTGAAGTTTTAGCAACAACTAACAAAGAGTGGATGATAGAATAGGGCCGAAGAAGTCCATGGGTATTCATGAAGTTGATGCCTACATAGCCATTTCAGCCCAACTTGCCACGCTTCAGAAGCAAATAGGAGGTATGCATGTTAATTCCATTCAAACACCTTAAGTAACATGTGATTTTTGTGCAGGTAACCATGTGAGCATTGACAGCCAAATGGGGAACACCTTTGTTTCATCCTCCTCATCATCAGAACAAGTCAACTATTTGGCTGGAATAAGAGACAACAAAATAATCCTTTCTCCAACACTTATAATCCTGGTTAGAGAAGTCAGTCAAACTTGTCATGGGGCAATCAAAACAATCAATTGAATCAAAGGACCATGCTAAACTATCAATTAGGGGTGAACCATCAACCATGTGAGTAAAGAATGTCGAGATTGGAGAATATGTTGGGAAATTCATGCAAGAGACCACAGATTTTATGAATGAGACAAGGGTAAATTTTAGAAATCAATGGGCATCTATTCGAAAATTGGAGGTGCAAATGGGTCAAATTGGAGGTGCAAGGTTCCTTACCAAGCAACACCGTGACCAATCCAAGAATGCAAGTAAATGCAATTATGCTAAGGAGTGGAATAGTCTTAGAAGAGGTTGAACAAAAAGGGAAGGATGAGAACCCACCAGAGAAGAAGGAAGAATCTGAGGAAGAAGTCGATGAAGAGATCATTGTTGAGGAGAGGCCAACAAGTCCCAGAAAAGAAGAACCAAATAAGGAAAAGATGTCGAAGCAAAAGAAGGAAAAAATGTCATTTCCTAAAATATCATCAAAGTTGGCAATCACATCCCTCCAGTTCCTTTTCCTAAAAGGCTCAGAAAGCAAAATCAAGATAAGCAGTTCATGAAATTTCTTGATGTTTTCAAAAAACTGCACATTAATATTCCCTTTACAAATGCCTTGTAGCAGATGTCGAGCTATGCTAAGTTCCTCAAGGAAATTCTGTCAAACAAAAGAATGTTGGAAGAGGATGAAACTGTGATGCTTACAAATGAATGCAGTGCCATTTTGCAGAACAAGTTACCACCAAAGCTCAAGGATCCAGGGAGTTTCACTATCCCTTGTGTTGAGATGTTACATTTGATCGAGTTTTGTGTGACTTGGGTGCTAGCGTTAACCTAATGCCTCTTTCTGTTTTCAAGAAATTGGGAATCGGGGAAGTCAAACTGACCATGGTTTCTCTTCAACTTGCTGATCAATCAATTAAGTATCCACTAGGCATTGTTGAAGATATGTTTGTTAGGGTGGATAAATTCATAATTCCTGCAGACTTTGTTATGTTGGATATGGAAGAAGACAAGGAGATACCTCTCATCTTAGGATGACCATTTCTTGCTACCAGAAGAGCCTTAATTGATGTACAAGAGGGGAAGTTGATCATGAGGGTGCAAGATGAAAAAGTGACATTTAAAGTCCTTGAGACTCTAAAATTTCCATCAAAGCAAGATTCATGTTTCAAAATCGACTCGATGGATCAGTCGGCAACTAAAACTTCCAAGATTGATGATCCTAAATCGCCATTTAAGGAATGCATGGTCCAGTCAAAGCAGATCGAAGATAAAGATCATAAACCAAAACTTTGTACAATATACTTAGACAAGCCACAATTGAGCATGTTTCTTCACAAGGGACAAAGTTGTAAAGATTTAGGTATAAGATCATGCAAATCGAAAGTGGGGCCGAAAAGGAATGCTAACCGGGAGACCACTTCAGCACCTTCTCATTTCAAGAATGCTGATGGAAAATTAAAATCTCGAAAAGGTGTCAATGAGAATGCTCGGACCCTAAAAGGAATGACCAAGGGATGGAAATGGGTGGTTAAGCTCTCAACAAAGACCTCATGTGCCAAGAATTATCAACAAGTGAAGCCTCATTCCAAGGAAAATGTTCAGGGTGTGATGTATGTGGATAGTCTAGATTGATGAAGGACTTGAGAAAGTCGAGCTTCTGACAATAAACAAGCGCTTCTTGGGAGACAACCCAAACTTTTTCATTTTTAGTTGTTTTACATTTTGTTTATGTATTATTTGACTTAGGGAATGATTAATTTTTTTTTTCTTTTTTTGTTTCAAGTGAAAGATTGAAATTTGGAATGAAGCAAAATTTTCCAGACTTTGCCGTAGCAAGGAAGCCATTTTGCCGCAGCAAGAAACTCACTGCCAACATGTGTATTTTGAAATTTCATTTTTAGCCGTGGCAAGGAATGTTTTTTGCCCACGGCATCGTACATACTGTGATCCATATGCCAAATTTCCAAGATTTTCACCACGACAAGAAAAAAAATTTCCTCGCGAAATCGAGCAGATCTAACATGAAGTAGAAGAAATTCCAGAATTTAGCCACGGAAAAATTTCCATTTCACCATGGCAAAATATGTTTTCTATACAAACCCGCCTTTTCTTTCCCCATTTTCACAGGAACTCTAAAAAAGCCTCCAAGAACCAAAATCCTCCTCTTCAATTTTTGACATTTTCCAGTCAATTTTCTCGCACCACTCCACTCAATCACTCCCATAAACACCCAACACCTTACTTTTTCAAGGATTTTGCAGAGTATTGAAGAAATTTTGGGAACCCTAGGTTTTCCAAAATTAAGGGATCTTGCGTTTGGGTAGAAATTGATGAAATTGAAGGTGAATTCGTTGTGGGTGAGGTAAGATTTCAAGTTCCTCAGCCTTGAACTAGATCAATTTTGGTTTTTGATTCTTTAATTTTGAGAAATTGATTGAATTGCTCGAGTTGTGAATATTGATGCAAATTGTGGAGTTATTTTGATTTGGGAAGTGTTGATTTTGAGTTGTTTTGTGTTGAGGAAGTTGGGTTTGTGATATTGAAGTTGTTTGACTGCATTTGGAAGTTTTGTGATTTTGGGTTTAATTGTGAATTTTGAACTGTTAGGGGTTAATTGGAGATTCAACTGTTGTGTATGTGAGAACTGTGCATTTGTGCTTGATTTGGAGTTCAATTGTGAATCCTTGTGTTGGTTGAGTGTGAGTTGTGTTGGGTTAGGAAAAGTGGTAGATTGTAGTGATTTGTGTTAAGAGAAAATGGAACTTAAATCTACTCCGAAGGTTAAGGGCAAGCAAGTAGATAATAGGTTTGTTAATGTTAAGGCTAATCATTATGAAGCAGCCATTCAGAGAAAGGACAAAGGTTTTATTGCCCAGAGAGGGATGACCAGTATCTTTGTTGAAGAATGGGCAACAAGAAGAACTTGGGTAACCTTTATGGAAGAACCTAAACATCTAGCCGTAGAACCCATTATACGAGAGTTTTATGCGAACTTCCCCGGGTGTGATCCCAGGCATGTTTGTGTGAGGGGTGTCAAGGTTCCATTTAGTGCCAAGATCATCAATGAATTTTATGAAATTAGGCCAATAGAACATGATGATTACCTAGAGTTCAAGGCTATGGACATTAATTTTGAAGAGATAATTAAGGTAATAGCAAAGCCAGGTACCTCTTGGGAGATCACTAAAAAGGGAAGGAGAAAGTTAAAGGGGACTGACTTAATAGTCATGGCTAGAATCTAGCAATACTTCATTTGTACGAGGCTGATTCTAGAGACACACTATAGTCAGTGGATGCAGAAAGAGCCATTTTACTTTATGTCATTGCAACTAGAAAATAGGTGGATGTGGGCGGAATCATAATGGAGGATATAAGGCATTCGGTCAAACCAGTGAGAGCTAGCTATGCCTTCCCTCATCTCATCATGGAGAATTGTATGAACATTGGAGTTCAAAAGGCAGATGATGAACCACTTCGTCATCCTACCCCATTCCTCAACCACGCTTATTACTAGAGGCTCAAAGATAGACATACCATTGGAGCAAGCTCAAAAAGACCAAGACCCACTCTCAGTGCCACTGCACCTACACCCCCACCCACAACAAATGAGGTATTGTAACAAATCCTAACCAAGATGAACATAATGGAAAGATGCCAAGATTGGATGGCTAATCAAACTCGAATGATGTATGAGATGCAGTACAAGCATTGCACCAGTTTGGGCATTGATGTGTCCAACTTCCAATGGCAAGATTAGCAAGAAAAGGAAGATCAAATTCCTGATGATGACGACAATGAGGGAGAGGATGGTGATGAGTGAAGCCTAAAACACATTTTCCTTTGTTTTATTTTAATTTTTATTTTTTTTGTATAGTGAAACTCAGTTATTTCTTGTTTTTACGTTTATTTTGTTTTTGCATTCTTAGGTTTTAGGTTTAGTCTGCTAAGGTTTGAGATTGAGATGTAATTTTTTTCCATAATCTGTGAGATTTTCTAACACATTTTGGACCCTTGAGTTTATGTGTTTTGACAGATTTCATGGATGAAGAAAAACGATGAAGGAAAGTCCAGAATTGTGCTCACTTCGACCTTCACGGATTAATCATGGGAGTATCTCATACCTTAAGCTCGTTTTTATACTCTTATGTTCATTATTGGTTGACATTAGGGACAATGTCATTCTAAGTTTAGGGCTAGGAAAATTTAGGAAATTTTTGAAATTTTTGTGTTTACCTTGTTTGTGTGTTTAGTTTGTTTGTTTGTTTTAGTTTGAGACTATTAATTCATTTAGTTTTAAGTGTTTTTTTATGTTATTTGTTTTTGTGTGTGTTTGTGTTTTTGTTGTTGCCTAAATGAATTACATAAGTCTATGATGAGACTGAGAAGTGATTCATATGCTAGCTTCTTAGAGTAAACACCATAGATTAAGCGAACGCTAGAGATGGGTTCAACGATCTATTAAATCTCTTTAGGATTCCACTTAACTTAATGGACTTTGAACTATTAATCTTTATTTTGTTGGGTGCGGAAGGTTAATAGGGATAAGTAGGAGAATATAGCCTGAGAAAGTATATTCTACAAATTAGGGAGTCCGATTTATAATCCTTGCTTGTGAACTTGAAAGCAACAGAAATTGTAGATTAAATTAGAGTATCCTAGTGAAGTTGAAACCCTAACCTCTCTTGCCTTGAATTGAATTTGTGTTAATTAGTTTACTTTTAATTTCAGTTGTTAAATTTTGTGATTTAAATTTTAGCTTTACTTTCTCCCACAAATCCAAACATTTTTGTGTTCTTCAATTAATTATAAAGCTAAGAAAATTGGTACTTAACATTTAATCCTCGTGAGAATGATACTCTATTTATCACTTCATTACTTCTTGCGATTCGTGCACTTGCTAAATATGCATGTTTGTGAAAGTACGCAATAGTGATCTTGTTCATAAAACATTACTAGAATACATTTAACATTAATACTCTGGGTTTTATTATCTACCCTCCTCAGAGATTGGCTAATCTTAAGCACCCCCACAGTTTTGGTAAATGATTATATACCGTCAGTTAAGTTTTAAGGTTTCTTTCCTTTTGATTTGAAAAGTCGTTTTTACCCTTTTTTTATCATTTACCAATTTCTTTTGTTTGTAGCAGTCTATATTACCCTTTTCACTATATACCAATTCTTTTTTTACAAAACAATTTTGACTATGATACTTTTATTTTTTTCTTTAATTCGCTTTTTTTCTTCCGAAATTCTCTTTCATTTTTTTTTTTTTTCATTCTCTTTGTCTTTTTATTTTTTTTCTCTCATTTCTTTATTTTTTCTTTCATTTTTATTTTTCTCTTTCATTTCTTTTCTTTTTGTTCTCAAATTCTCCATTCTTTTCTGCGGAAACTTCAACACAAACAACTGTTGAGTTCCTCCCTCATCCCTGCAAGATTTTCTAAATTCAAGAACAAAACAAAGAGTTCATACACAATGAAATAAAAATTTCAGAACAAATTGCAAAAACACAACCATTTTCCATTACTTTTACTTGAGAAGTTAGAGTACAAACAACTATCTCATACAAATCAATCAAACCAATAATTTTCGAAATCAGAACCTAAGACACAACCACCACCTACCAGAGGGATAATCCTCCATAGCCACAACAACAAGCAATCCATAATAGCCACGAAAGAAATCCACCACTGTGCTTCCAAATCCGCAAATTGTTGCTCAATATTATATGAAATTGTTTGAACCTTATGTTTTATGTTTATTGTCCACAAACATTTTTGTTTGATGTTTTATGATTATACTTTTTAACTATTTTGTATGCTTTTTTTACGTATAATGTTTGCTTAGCGAGTTGACGGCTCACCCTTAGTCATTGATTTTTTGCAGACTAAGGTCGTCATGAAAAGTGAGTTGATTGGTAGCTAAATCTTGGTTGAAACAAATAGGGAAGATATTCACAATCATTGAATTTGGATGTCGTGAAAATTAAAAGGCTATTCTTGTTATATTTATGCTTCAAGGTGAGGTTAATCATT